CTGCAGATATATTACTGTTACTATTACTATAAATAGTAATATATAATAGCAATAGCAATAGCAATAGCAGTTAGACTTATATACCGCTTCATAGGGCTTCACTATACTGTTATATATTACTATTTATAAATAATAAATAAAATCTAAAAAATCTAAAAATCTACTGTTTATCTTCAACTTTTCCTCAGCAAACCATCCGGGCACTGACCTACATCTGTTTCTTTCCACAGAGTAGCCGCAGGTTGTGAGTTTGGATAATGTCCCCAACATTGGTGCATTCATTGTTTTCCCATTAAGAGAAATGTGCGCTTCACCTTCCATTTGTGGTGCAGTTCATTTCTTTGCAGCATCTGCATACTGAAGGGTAAAAGCAGGCGCTTGCAGTTTGGTAAGGAGGGCTGGGGAACATTTGCTTGTCTAAAACAGTCCCAAAGGTGCTTTTTCAGGAGGTAGCTGGACTTTCTTGTCTTTTTCTTTGAAGATGTTTTGCTTCTCATCCAAGAATAGCAATAGCACTTAAACTGATATACCACTTCACAGTGCCCCTCTTTAAGCGGTTTACAGAGTCAGCCTTTTGCCCCCAACAATCTGGGTCCTCATTTTACCCACCTTGAGGGGATGGAAGGCTGAGTCAACTTTGAGCCTGGTGGGATTTGAACTGCTAAATTGCAGGCAGTCAGCAGATGTGGCCTGCAGTGCTGCACTCTTAACCACTGAGTCTCTTCTTCAGAAGATTCTTCAGCTCCAACAGGATGGTGGGGAATGTAAGGATTTATATTCCTTGCAGATAGCTGGTAATCTGCATCCTTTTAGAGGGTCGTTGATGCCTTTGTAAGTTTTATCTGTGTCCTCAGGGTCACCTGAGTGATGCTCCTGGTTCCTGTAGTCTGAAATTTTTTTCTCAGGAAGAGAAAAGTTGCCTCCTGAAAAAGCATCTTTGGGACAACCATGACCTGGATGACTGAGAAGCTGTACAGACTTTAACAACGGTGTTTCTTAAGAAAACAATGTTTTCTTTGAAAACTTTATGATATGTGGATTTCAACTCCCAGAATACCCCAGCTGACATAACTGACTGGGGAATTCTGGGAGTTGAAGTCCAGATATCTTCAAAGTTTTCAAAGTTAAGGAACACTGGTCTAAAACACTTGTCCCCATAATCACAAATTCCCCAAAGATTTTCTGCCATTTCCACTGGGGTAACGACCTCACTGCTATACCTTCTGGGCCCCTCAATCACTGGGGAAAAATATATATATTTTAAGTGCCTTCCTGTGAGAAAGACATCTGCCTCTGTTGTGGAGGGAGAAATGAAAGGAAATGAAGAGATGACTAAAGGATTTGGATGCCTTCCTTGTTGCAGAAGTGAGTTTTCAGAAAAGATGGCATGCCATCTTGTTGACGTTCCTGGAACTGAAGCCCAATATAGAAGGCGTCCTGGTTAGAAACCGAATTGCTGCTTGCATCTGTTAGCCATCAACCTGCTGCTTCATTGGATAACTATTTTCATTCCAATGAAATAGCTCTTGCTTCTGACTTCAGCCTGACATCCTAATTGTTCTGAGAAGCACCACAGAGCCACCTACCTCTTTGTATTTTGTCCTGAACTTGAGCTGAGGACACATTGCTCATCCCTCTCCCTGCAAACGAGTGGCTTTTATTTGATTTCTGGTGCCAACAATGAATTTTTAGGATAACTTGCAACCTCTGAGAGCAAAGAAAAGCAGATTGCTGCGAATGGTGCTTGTTCCTTCCACTTCTCTCCCTTTGTTTTTTTAACCCATTTACAATTACAGCTGCCAGAGGGAGCAGTTCAGAAACAGCAGAACCCTAATCTTGGCCAAGGGATTGAAAGCAGATATTAGATGCCATTTTATTAAAGGAGAGGTGCTAACAAATAAGGTAAAGGTTCCCCTAACACATATATGGTAGTCGTTCCCAACTCTAGGGGGCGGTGCTCATCCCCGTTTCAAAGCCGAAGAGCCAGCGCTGTCCGAAGATGTCTCCGTGGTCATGTGGCTGGCATGACTAAATGCCGGATGCCCACAAAACACTGTTACCTTCCCACCAAGTTTGGCAGAAGCTGGGACAAGTAACGGGAGCTCACTCTGTTACACGGCACTAGGGTATTCGAACCGCCGAAATACCAACGTTTCTGATCGAAAAGTTCAGAGCCTTAGCCACACTGAGCTACCGCGCATCCCTTGGCTGCTTTATCCCACATATTTGTCGTTTGCAAAGCTTTGCACTTAGATGCCTTCCCGGGGGTCCATGAAAAGCCACGGGGAGCTCAAAATAGGGACCACTGCGATATGATGTCACTGCACAAAAGTTACACAAATCAGTGTTTCTCAACCTCAGCAAATGTTACCTGAGGAATTCTGGGAGGTGAAGTCCAGACGTCTTAAGGTTGCCTAGATTGAGAAACACTGATGACATCTTGGACAAGTCCAGGTAGTCCTTGTCTTATAAGCATTCATTTAGTGACTGTTCGAACTTGCCGCAGCACTGGAAAAAGTGCTGTTGTAGGATCATCTAAAGCAGTGTTTCTCAATCGTGGCGACCTTACGTCCTGTAGACCTCAACCCCCAGAATCCCCCAGCAGGCTGTGCTGGCTGGGAGGTTCTGGGAGTTGAAGTCCACAGGACTTAAAGTCGTCACAGTTGAGAAACTCTGATGTAAAGACTTAGGCCATTTTTCCACACTTAAAGCCATTGCAGCATCCTGATAGTCATGGGAGGTTCCTCACTGGAGGCTTCCAAGGAGATCTTGGCTTGCCATTTGTCAGAAATGGTGTAGGGCAGTGATGCTTAACCTTTTTGTTGCCTCGTGCCCAAAGCGTGTATGCGCGGCCAAAACTCCAAAATGCAATGCGATCACTCTCCCGTGCATGGGTCCCACCCCCTACCCCCTTTGCCCACTTTTGGCTTCCAAATTGGTGCAGCAGGCTTTCTAGGCCCCAAATGGGGCACCGGAGGGCCTCGCCAGCGCCCCCGTGCCCCGATTTGGCTTCTAGGTTGGTGCAGGAGGCTTTCCGGGCCCAAAAGGGGCACAGGTTCACGAACCCTTGCATGCACACGTGCGTCCCCTGGACTCTAAGACCACCGCAGATGGGGACTGCAACCAAGAACTTAAAAGACGCTTGCTCCTGGGGAGGAAAGCTATGGTGA